TTATATATATATATATATATATATATATATATATATATATATTAATAAAGATATTTAAATATATTTCATTTACCTGATTTTTATGTAAAAATGATAATCCTTGTAACATTACTTGTGCATGCTGTGATTATGATACTTATTATTTTTTTAAATTTTTTATAAAACTATTACATATAGCACATCCTATTAATATAACTTTATTGATTTAAAAAGTAATAAAAATTAGTTAAACTAGATAATATATGTTATTGTTACTTGTAAAATACCGTCGTTATTGATATTTTCAAGCTCTTGAAGTTCACGTCTTTTCTTGCTAAATTAAAAAAATTTTCGATTTTCTTTTTCAAGAAAGATTGAATTTTTTTATTATCACCGTAAGACAAATATAAAATTATGTATTCATAGTCACAGGTATTCATTTTTCATTCAAATTGAGGTTAAGTGAATATAATCATAAGGAGTACGTACTCCTATACTGAATCATAACGCAAATGTAATTACTATGCGTTATATTAGTTTTTAAATTCGTTAATTTTACTATATAATACTCCTAATCAGAAAGAGTAATAACGTTATTCAAAAGTTTTTCCAAACTCTAGCTAATATAATTTCTTCGTAATGATATCCAGATGGCGCAACGTAATGGCGCCTGTAGTGTATATTATTTTTGATCTACGCAACGGACATTCTACAGTTCCGAAATTCATGACTAGTTTTCATTAGCCATAGAACATTTTCGTATGTATTACTCTACAACATGTTATAAAGATTTGTCATAAAATACGAACCAAGAGATGTAATTTCGTAAAAAGAATCGACTAATCTACGCGCACTCTGAGATGAAAATTTACACCACGTTCAACTATCGTGTTCTGAAATTCCTTTACTGAAGCTATGACGTTGCTTATGTTCATAATGGCCGCGATTGTGACTTTGTTATTAAAAATATTAAATGTGGAAAATTAAATTTAGTACTCAGCATATATCAAGTACGTAACGACAAAATATAATAATAAAATAAAATAAAATTTATAGTATTTTAATTACTTTTACTAATATTTGTTATATAAATTTCATGAATTTTACGTACCCATTTGTGCATGAAATCACGAACAATTTAATTGATTAAACAGAAAGTTTAAGTCGTTTTATTATATATATTCTTATAAATTATAAATTTATAATTTATAATAAATTATATTTCTTTAAAAAGTTATATTTTTTCTTTTTTATGCATACTGTTTAATCTATTATAAAAGAATATTCAGTAAATATTTATAGCATTATCATATAATCTAAATAATATAAGAACTTCTTAAAAGCGTCTTAAATACATCCTTTAAATTATTTTTCTTATAAATCACAATATTTTCAGAATGTCTTATTTATTAAATATATTTTATTTTAATCGTAACTAGATAATTAGAAGACGTTAGAAGAGACGTTTTTAAGAGATAGTTTTAGAAGACGTTACTATTTTTGAGACATCTTTAAAAGTATTCAAGAGATGGCGCTAAGCTTCAATTCTTATTTTATTTTACCTTGCCTCTTTGAAGATATATATTTGGTATTCTATTCTTTTTTTATTATGTACTATTCTTTCCTTTATTTATGTATTTCTTTTGTGATATTCTGAAAATAATGTAGATTTCAATATTTTTATTCTATCTCTGTCCCAATAGTTATTCTTTTTGTCTATACTTGTTTTTTTTGACGCTCACATATGAAATACAAAAATATAATAAATTGAGTATACACTTTTTATAATTTTTCTTTTAAAATTATATCTTAATTATTAATATAATAATATAGATATTATTTTTCATATTTTTATATGAAATGTATTTTTAGAATGATGATCTCGCAAAATATATATTATATATAATATATATTTTCATCAATTTAATTAAGCAATTATAATTTTCATATTAAAATTTAATTTGAATTGAAACCATCGAATCATTATGATTTTATTTTAAATCGAATTTTTATTTGAGAGAAAAAAGTAAGATCGTAGTGTTCTCGAGATATGGGGATAAAAAAATGCATTAAATATTAGATTTATTCAAATCTATTGTGTATCTTGTCTGTGGTATTTCAAATATAAACATTGAAATCGAACTTAAAAGTTCGTTTGTATAGAACATTTTGTTATCAACATTAGATAAAATAGAATTTGTTATTATTACATCATTTAAAATGGTATGTGCGAAAATTAAACTAAAACTAGTTAATATTTTTACTTAATATTTTTTATTTATTTTAATAAGTTGCGTTGAATGCAAATGCAATTATTTGATTATTTTTGTAATTATTGATATATTTTTATAATTTAACATATTATTATTATTATTATTTTATCAATATTATTATTATTATTTTATAGAAAACATACATTTGTAATTAAAAATTATATTTTTATATTATAAAACAAAATTTTTAATGATTTTTAGAATTCAATTTATAAGATTTGTTGAACAATGAAATTGTTAATTTTATCGTATCATTCGTAAAAATGAGTTATCATTCATTTTCCATGTAAATAGATATAAATGCTTATTTCTTTTTAAAATAAAATATCGCATTTGCAAATGCATCTTATTATAATTATAATTTTCAATTTTCTAATAATAAAATATATATTGCTGCCAATTCCTTAATTGATCAAGACGAAAGAGAATTTTCAATCTAATTTTTTCCAAAGAAAAAATTTTTATTGGGCGAATACGAATTGAATTATTAAACTTTTTTTTTATTATATACGTGCATTATTACTTTAAATGTAAATAAAATTTGAAAGAAAGAATCAAAACAATTTTTTCTTTTATCATTATTGTGAGTTTATTCAAAGGATAAAAAGAAAGACATTCAAACGTTACATCAACACTTGTATGTTTTGTATTTATATTAACATAACAATTTTTGTGTTTAGTAAGTATGTATTAGTAGAATCTTATTTGCATATGGTAAGAACATATAAGAAAAGAAATGATACGAATTAATACGAACAATCAATGACTACAACAATCGTTGCGTGAATGGCGAATATACATATATGTACGATCATGTATGTAAAACCAACGAGTATGATCTTTAATAATAACGTGGAATATCGACAAGTGAAGGTGCACTTGAAAAATGAGAGCGTTATAAATGTTGTTAAATATTTGGGTGCGAAATAATTAACATTCAGTTTTCAATGTTTCCATTATATCCAATTACTGGATCCGTAACTGGATTGGACACATTTCGTGAAAGCTTTAAATATATTACCGTTTCTTTTAGGATCGAGTTTCACAACAATTGATAAGCTTTCACGAAATGTGTTCCTAAAATTCTCGCACATAAAATTCACACAAATTCAAATGTGCACAATGGCACGAGTTACAACTTTCGGTTTATCACTGACCTAACGTCAAAAATCAATCTAATTTTATTAAAGAATATAAAATACAATTATATAACATCTCGTATTGCGATTTTTAAGAGAGAGAGAGAGAGAGAGAGAAGAAAAAAAAATTTGTAACAACAACTTCCTACGTTGCAATAAATACACATAGTTCATGCAGTGATATCCTTAGAGATCAGGAACATCTCCACAAGTTTGATCAAGTTCTCGATTCCTTCTAAATAATTTAAATCCAGAGTATTTTGATCCTCTGCCGGGAAGACATGCGTAAAGTCAATCATATTAATTCTAACCCAATTTTGTCTCTCTTCCATGGAACTAGTGAGCTCGTTCAATAAATCATCGTAGTCCTCCTTGATCCTTATTATGTCATCGTCAAAGTTGTTCACATAAGAATGCGTACGACAGAGTCGATCAACTCTAAAGTCTGGACTACACGACTCGCTTCTGCTCAAAGTTTTCTCCTTCCCCGATGAATCGTACTCGCCGCTCAAGCTGATGCTCCTTTTAATAAAGTGTACCCTCTCCATCGTCCGATTCCTATTCGTTTCGATATTACTCGAAACTGAATTACTTGTCGCGTCGTTCATGTGTTTGAACACATTCGATGTAGTTGTATGGTTATTTGTGGAGGAAAATGACGTGGATACGTGGCTGGGTAATTTATTCGTGTTATTTAGGCGGAGATAATGCCGCAATCGTTTCGCGTCATATGCCACCAACAAAGAACTAGAATAAAAGCGGAACAACCGCTGGATACGAAAGAATAGTAATATCTTCCACAAGAAAGAGAGCAGCATCACGATCAATTGACGACAGGGCGGTCTTTCTGGACTTATATTCAGGAAGATTTTCAGCGCTGCGCAGGAAAGAAAAGGCACTATATGGAATAGTTTTAATAAAAAAAAAAAAATGTGAATTATTTAAAGTGTTCTCTGGAAATGTTCTTCCAGCGTTTTCATTACAATCGTTCCTCATATGATCCAATAGTGATATGTTATTACCACTTATACGACTTATAATTGTACGTGACTAATGGGAACATTAAAAAACATTTGAATTATAATCACTAGCGATAATTCATAGTAGTTTTTTTTTTTTTTTTTTTTTTTTTTAATTATATATATATATTACTATAAT